TGGAGGTGTAGTCACGAGAAGACTGAACTAGGAAGTTCACTTTTGAAATGACGTGGTGTATGATGCTCAAGCTAAAGGGGAGCGGGGCGACCGCTTCATGAAGCCCTCGAACGTGGCGCTCCTTTGGCTCGCACGTCTTGCGGATTTGAGCTTTAGGAGTGGATCCCACGATTCGAGGCACCCTGAAAGCAGTCACCACTTTTACAACCAGACCTGTTCTTGTCAGTGTTTTTGCGCTGGAACTGAGCAGAGGACCCTGGACATTGGACTAGGCTTTGCACTGGGCGTGTTGGTCAGTTGGGCTTTGTTTGGTCGGTCTTCCCGAAAGGCTGTGGAGGTCGATTGGGTTCCGGCCGATGTCGCATTTGCGAGCCCGAGACGACGCGGTGGAGGTGTTGTCCAGTTGCCCGCCCGGACAGCTGGCGGTCGTGTGGTATAGTGATGATTCAGTTTATCACGAGCGGCTTATGGTTTGGAGGGCTGGTGACACTGAGTGGTTTGTGCTGACCCCTGACGGGGACTTCTATAGAGAGGACTGGTCAGGCCATTCAGATGAGGGTCCCATCAGCTTCAAACTGAAGAAGACAGACTTTAGTCACTTCTCCCGTATCAGCCAACCAGTGTATCGTTTTAGTTCCTACCCCGATGACGACCGGTTCAGAGAGCTTGTGGAGGAGGCCCTCAACGAGTTAGGTGAGTTAGGCAGTGGCTCCCTGAGTTGGACACCCCGCAAGGTCATTGACATGAAAGGCAAGGAGGTGGAAGCTTCTCTTGACCTGGGACGCCTGATAGTGCCCCGGAGGTTGAGACGTCGAGATGGAGGCTATGTCGCTGAACCCATTCCCTCCCCAGTGGCAGTGTCAGGCTTTCCTAGGTCAGGACTTGCACCGGCCCCTGAGGGCCACATGTGGGTCGCCTTGCATGACACCTCCGCCTTTGACCTTGGGAAGGAGGCCAACGTAGGCTTGGAGAAGGGCATCCAGTTGGACAGCGACCATGGAGCCATCCCTGATGAGAAGGGATGGACCTTGATGAGGCTGCTCAAAGTTGAGAAGGTTCCCGCAATGGTTGAAGAGCGAGAGAAGCTGGTGACCAGTCGGTTGGAGCTTCGTGGTGTGCCTAGCAGGAGCCTGGAGACTGGCGCCAAGAAGGAGGAGGCTGGAGGTGAGGAAGACGCTGAGGTCTCAGAGGACGCCAGGACTCTGAGTGTTTGCTATGATGATCAAGGAGAGAGATACCGGTCCTGGAGGGAGGCCACAAAAGAGGCAAGGGAGTATTCCTACTCGGACTGGCCCCTGGAGGGGCCCCAATCCGTGCTCCACTTGATGAAGTACATGTTGAAGAATGGTGGCAGCCCCAAGCAATGGCTGTTGATTTGGGCCCGACACAAAGGGGTGCATGACAATGATCGAGTCATGCATGAAATGCGTGCCTTGTTGGAGAGCTTCGAATTGGCAGGCTGCTATGACCAGTTGAACCTTGGCAGTTTGGCCTGTTTCGAGGCCTTGGGACGCAGGGTGCAGAGCATTGTCGATGCCTACAACAGCGGCTCCTCCGCCTCTCCAGATTGGGGGGCGGCGAAGATCATGTCGGGATACCAAGGTCCAGAAGATCTGGTTTCTCCTTCCCTTCGCACTTGGGCGGCCAAGAAAGGAAAGGAGGAAGTTGAGATTGCAGCCGCCCGGACGAAGATGAGAGAGCACAAGCGGCTGCAGATCCCCACAGAAGATGCTGCCGCCTCCGCCGTGGCTGACGGCAACCTACCTCCCGGCGGACCAGCTGCCAAAGCCAAGCGCAAGGCCAAGGCGAAGCAGCTTGCTCCGCCGGAAGACACATGACTCAGGCGGATGGGGGGCCCCCTATGTCCTCTCGGGGGGTCTCCAGCAGACTGGCAGCTATGGGAGGACAATGCCCAGATCCAGCCAGAGTGGGTCGAGATTTGTTTCCTTTGCCCTCTCCAACTTTGCCGAAGAAGCCTGTGGCCGGGAGCCGTCGGTCGCAACAGCGTCTGGATCGCAAGTGGAGACACTATGAGACGGTGAAGGAGGCAGTAGACGGCTTGAACTGGCTGGCATGTGATAGTTTTTTGCATGGTACAGATGTTGAACCGGATGGCATTCAGCTGGAGGTTTTGCAGCGAATTCATGAACTAGCCCAGGACGCAGGACGGCTGGGCACCTTGGAGCAGATTCCAAAACCTGAGGCAGCCTTACGAGAGCTGCTCAAAGGGAAGTCGGAGTATCACCAACCCGAAGTCCCTGTGGCTTTGGCTCCCTACAAACTCGAGCGCATTTCTCTCCCGAGCAGCTTGGAGAACCTTCCGGAGGCTCGTGACCTTCTGCCGGAGAATGCCCGTCGATATCTGTTGGGTAGAGAGCTCATGCTTAGGGAGGAGGGCGCTTATGATGCCCCCCGCCCTTACTGGGACCCTGTTTTGGCGAACAACAAGAAGCATTACAGAGAGTTCATTGAAAAGTTGAACAGTGTTGGCATGTTGCAGTTCACTCAACACCCCAAGAACCATGTTGGAGTTTTCTTTGTGCACAAGAGTGACAAACAGAAGATACGACTCATAGTGGATGCACGGTCGAGCAACGCATTGTTTAAAGAGCCCCCAGGTGTTGAACTTTGTTCGAGTGAAGGGTTCAGTCGCATCGAATGTGAGGTGTCGGAAGGTGTGTTGCCAGGCAGTGCAGAGTTTTTGCAGGAACTTCAATCCATGGAGCTACATGTTGGTTTGTCCGATGTCAAAGATTGCTTCCACAGGCTCAAACAACCTCGGTGGCTTGCAGAATACTTTTGCTTTATGCCGATCAAGGCTCACTGGGTTGGTTTGACAGGGAAGTGTTTGGACGGGGTTACATTGGGCTGCAATGACATTGTTTATCCTATGCCGGGTAGCCTTTGTATGGGGTTTTCGTGGAGCCTTTATTTTTGCCAGCAGATCAATGAGCATCAGTGTGCCTTGACCAGGTCATTAGGAGACTCCACTTTGATCACAGACAAGGGTTTGCCGGTGGTATTCAAGAGCTCAGCAGTCCGAGACAATGCAAGAGCAACAACAAGGCACTACGTCTATGTCGACAACCTTGGCATTGTTTCCCCTCACCGGGGTGTCGTCCAGTCGGCGCTCCAGGAGCTGGACAGTCACTTTGGAGGCAAAGGACTTCTTCTTCACCCAGGAGAGGTCCACAGTGAAGAAACGAAAGCACTGGGGACAATATTGGATGGCAAGAATCTTTGCTCCCGAATTTGTCCAGAGAGGTATCACAAGGTCAGACAGAGCATCAGAGGTCTTTTACAAAAGCCGCGGGTGACGGGACAGATGGTTGAAGTTGTCTTGGGCCATGCAACCTTTTGCGCATTGAACAACCGTATGCTCATGTCGATCTTCCACAGTTGTTACAAGTTCATAAGAGCACACTACTTTGAACCGGTGGCAATGTGGGAAGCAGTGCGTCGTGAGTTCACAGCCTTTTCAGGACTCATGATTTTTCTTCGAGCGGACTGGTGGCGCCCTTGGAACAGTTTGGTGTGTTGCAGCGACGCCAGTACTACTGGCTATGGGGTATGCACATCACATTGGAGGTTAGAGGATGTCAGAAAGGTTGGTCGACAGAAGGAACGGAGCCGCTTTAAACGTTGTGACAATCATTCAGCTAGAGAGTCAGCCTTAACTTCAGCAGGGTTCATTCGTGATGAGTTGACAGGTGCATGGAAGGCAGGCAATCTTTCAACTGAAGATTATCTCAACCTCAGCGGGTGGAGACTGGACCAGAGTTTTGAGGAGGTTCCAGCCCGCCTGCTGAGGAAGCAATTGTGGCAGCCAAAGCTTTGGGGAAAGTGGCGCTTCAACGAAGGCATCATTATCCTTGAGGCCCGGGCCGCCGTGAAAGCGATGAAGCGGATTGCGATGAGCCGGTACGGTTCGCAGACACGACAGCTTTTCTTGTTGGACAACATGTCACTGACCTTAGCACTCGAGCGTAGCCGCAGTCGTCAGTATGGGCTCCTGAGGCAGGTGAGGGTTTTCAATGCCTATTGCATAGCTAGAGGTATACAGCCCAGCTTCAGGTGGATTCCTAGTGAGTTGAATAGTTCAGACGAACCATCTCGTTTTGGCACGGACGAACCTTCCAAGCTGCTCACCTCGGAGATCCCCCATGGCCCCGAAGAGAACCAGACGGCTAGCCGCCCCGGAGAGAGATGCCCCTCCAAAGGCGGCCAGAGTGGAGCGAGTGTTGAGGCCTGGAAAGCTTGTTGTGCCGAGTCGTTCGAGCAAGAAGGAGGCCTTGTTGAAGCCTGTCGAGACCAGCGAGCTCCTGACAACAAAGGGAGTGCTGGGAAAACTGCCCACGCTGGAGAGTCCAGGGGAGGAGACCAAAACCCTGGGAGTCGATCTCTCCATGTCCAGCAGTTCCGACAGCAGCAGCGAGGTAGACATGACCAGGAAGAGAAAGAAGTACTTGCACAGTCGCGCCCGACACCGGAGGCGCAAATATGTGGACTTCCTCATAGACGGCAAGGACAAGGATGGGCTGAGTCTTTTGGAGAAGAGAGCCATTGGAACAGCCGCAGAGAAAATGTACCAGAAAGAGCTTCAGGCCTTCAAGGACTATGCGGTGTGTCGGGGACTGGACCCGAAAGATGCCGAGGGGGTGGACAGGTTGATGGTGCAGTACATGAACCATTGTTATTTGGCAGGGCACCAGGCCTATGTTGGAGACCGCCTCATAGCCAGTTGGTTGCACCATCACCCACAGTTCAGCAAGACTGGGGTGAAGAAGATCCCCAGAGCCCTGAGGTGTCTGAAAGGTTGGCGAAGACTTTGCCCTGGACGGTCGCGAGTTCCGTACCCTTTGAGCATTTGGTGTGCAGTGGCATGTCTGATGATCAACATGGGTTTTCCCAAGATGGCCGTTTTTGTGATGCTAGCAGTGTCGACCTACAGTCGCCCCTCCGAGTTGTTGCGGCTGAGGACCTTCAGTTTGATCAAACCGGCACCAGGAGTGACCAGCAGTTGGAGCTTGCTTCTGAGCCCAGAAGAGTTGCAGGAGAGTTCAAAGACTGGAGACTACGACGTCAGTGTCCTGTTAGACTCTCCCTATACGAATTGTTGGCTTGGCAAGTTCCTCACGGTCATGAAGAGGGCCAGCAGCAGCTCGGCCCTGTGGGACTTCGACTACAGTCAGTACCTGGCAGTGATAAAGAAGATTGCCAAGAAGATGGAGGTGCCACTGGAGCCTTATCACACGAGGCACAGCGGCCCCTCCATCGACAGAAGCCGAAAGTACAGGTCGCAGCTCGAGGTACAGAAGAGAGGCCAGTGGAAGAGTTCAGAGTCATGCGTGAGGTACGAGAAAGCCGCCCGGTTGGCTCGGACCTGGGAGCAAGTGCCGCAGAAGACAAAGGACTTCGCCCTGGCTTGCGAGGAGGCGTTCGACGACATCATGCTTGGAAGAAAGAAGTGTCCCGACTCCAGCCGCCTAGGCGGAACGGGAAAGGGCAGTTTGTAGCAGACCTTTTCTCCGGGTGCGGAGGAGTGGCACTGGCCTGTGAGAGGTTAGGCTTTGTGAGCAAGCAATGGGACATTAGGTTGGGGCACACATGTGACTTGACAAGTCGAAGCGTTGTTCGCAAGTTGAAGTGCAGCATCCGGACCGGGAAGGTCCTAGCCGTGATGATGGCGCCTCCTTGTAACAGTTTTTCAGTGGCTCGTGACCGCACAAAAGTGATTCGTACACGAGAGTTTCCTTGGGGATTGCCTGATTGTTTTTTGACAGCCAGTGAACAAGAGAAAATACAGTTGGGCAATGCTTGCTTTCGAACATGTTTTTCTTTGATTCGCATGCTGGACCGTTTCAGAATTCCGTGGATCTTGGAGAACCCGGCAAGTTCAAAGTGTTGGCATCTCCCCTTCTGGAAACAACTATGTTCTCAGCCCCACATACAAGTTGTTTATGCCGATTTTTGCCGTTTTGGAACCGCATGGAAGAAGCATACACGTTTTGTTTGTGGAAATATTGAGTTGACGGATTTGCACCGTGTCAATTTGCAGTGCACCGGACGTTCGATTTGCAGTGTTACGGGCAAAGCCCACTTCCATCTCACCGGAAAGGGACCAGGAGGTCGGAATTGGACAGAGATTGCACAACCCTATCCTAAGTTACTTTGCAGCGGGTTGGCGCATGCTCTTACAGCTCGTTATCACTACAACTATGTGTCTTACTAACACAGCGGAGTTTCTACAAGTGCTGGTTAACATTCCTGAATTTGGGGGCAATGATTTTGGGAGATAAAACCTGAGGGCTTTGGGACGGTGTGGCGAGCTCTGTTGTTCGCTGTGGCAGGCGAAAGAGGCTGAGCCACAACGATGGCCGAAAGCACTCGAGACACTGGAGTTCCGCTGAGAAAGTGAGCGCTGCAGAGAAGTCT